ACCTGGATAAACCAACAAGCCTGCAATGGAACTGGAGCTTGAGAGACAGAATCAGACCAGAACTTTAATGTGATGAATATACAAGCTATAAAGCATCGATCCCTGGAAAATGAAAAAAATAGCACAGTGATTGCATGTAGAGGTAAGACCAGCACACTATGCAGCATGGTTGTAGAAAAAAGAAAAAAGGATTGTGAGCCTTATCACACGCCTGTTTCTCTTTCCCTCTTATGTTGGCAAATGATGTCCCATCCATAAAAGTGAGCTTTTTCTGCTGAGCATCTCTTCTGTACTGATCCTTTTTTGATGTGTCTGCCACATTTGGAGCAGTCAGACTGGCTATAGTTCTTCTTAGACTGATGGAATCTGTTTGCCTGAGGTTTTTCCATAGGCGCATAGAGAGAGTGTTTACACAAACTCGATACAATCACTCAATGGAGACATTGGCTGCCCAAAACAATAAACTAATATGAGCTCTTTGAAACTAAGAAATCTTTCCTCCTTTTTTCCTGTATTCTCTGTGGGTCCATTATCTAAAGGTCACATCAGTCTCCTACTCTTCCAGTCCATACATTGACCTAGTGTCCTGAAATACAGTACAAATTTTGAGGGACTGAGGGTCTTTTACAGATGAAATGGGCCTCGTTGACCAAAGGATGATCACAAAACATCACAGTATGGGTTTCTCACCATATTTTCTGATAGTTTCTTTGTATTGTAGATGAAGATGTTTTAATGTCACAAAGGAGGTACGTTGTTGTTTTCTCTGCCTAAGTGTGTCTGTAGTAGAGTTACTGCAGCAGTCGTTTGGAAGGTTGGCCACCCACAGAACTCCACAGGAAGACGTCATCACCTCTCCTCTCCTCCTCTGCTGACTGAAACGTGTTCTCTTTACACCAACCCAGAGAATAAATGAATAAATCTTTGTCATTTCCACATTGTTTTATTTTGCTCTACATGTTGCTTTATTTTGTTCTTTCCTAGTGATCTTATAATCATGGGACTTCTATCTGATCTGAGGTGAGAACGGAGACATGACACACGTTACCTATTCATGAATTTTGAGGTATGGCAGCACTTGAATATTTTAGAGTCTTTATTTCTTGGCTCTGTTAAGGTTAAAGTAGACTGTTCTCTGAACTTATCACTATAAAATGAAGCCCTCTCTGCTTGATTTTTAATCCATATTTGCAGCCGTGTAGTAATTCATGAGTTGAGTGTGAATAGGAAGAGGGGGGTCATATAATACTTGGTTTCCTGGGCTGCTTTCCAAGAAGTTACAGATGCTGAGTAGTCAGTGTGAGTCTGAAACTGGAGACTTGCAGAGATCACAATCTTGCTCTGTCACCATCGTGCCCTTGAGCGAGACACGTAACCTGAAGTTACTCTTGAGTGACAGTAGTGAAAATCAGCTTATATCAGGGGTGTCTTATCCTGCTCCTGGAGGGCCAATGTCCTGCAGAGTTTAGCTCCAGAGTCCAACCTGCCCAAACACACTTGCCTGGAAGTATCTTGGGTGCGTCTCAATCAGCTCTCTATAGTTTCTCTATAGGTTGTGAATCAGTATATTGTGTACACGAATTCGGTCATTAGGAAGGACTTGCTCACTGCACATTGGGACACTGATGGCGCTATTTCCAGGGTCCTCATTGTACAACATCACTACTGGTATTTATGAACAACAGCAGAACTGATATCTTTCTGACATATTTTAATGTATTTTAAAGTACATTATTATAAATACTTGTTACATATACGTCCAACACTTGTTTCACAAGTTTCACACTTCGGAACTTCTGTTAAGGGAACGTGGTGAGCATCAATGTTCCCTGGTATTCACGCTGCATTGTAGGACTTTTTAGGGAACAAAGAACGAAGGTTTCGGTGCACTGGAAGGATTTTGCGATTGATGCAGCTCTTAAAATGGCCGACTCCCTGATCAGTGCCCTGACTACTGAACTAGGGATCTGATTCTGAACATGATTATGTCTGGTTCAGGTGATTTTGATCAGGTTTGGAGCTGAACTCTGCAAAATAATGACCCTCCACAAGCAGGATTGGACACCCCTGGCCTACATTATACTGCAAGTTCAGTAAATACTCAAATGCTACTTTGCATCTTTGTGGGGAGCATCCCTTGTCTCTCGTTTGTATGTCTTCACGTTTTTTGATTTTGCGAAGAGTTTGATCTTGAGACCTATTCATTCGCTTGAAAGTGCAACACAATTTATCAAAAGTAGGATGTAATCCTGGATCAACACATTTTAAACCAAGTGTAGCCCTTACACTAACCCTTAGAGTTAAACCATCTCCTGAATGGTGTCCTGTGCCCTAACCCTACTCCTAAACTAAGAGGCCATTGATTTGTAGGTACATTACTGCACCAACAAAGGATGTTGATCCAGAAACATGCCCTTCTTGTGTAAATCTTATTAACCACATTTGAAGCCAGTCGAGAGGAATATGGAAATTTAACCCTGAGTATGCAAAGCTAAACTAGATAGTTGAGGCTGGTGCATTACCATTAAATCTTGTCAACAATATTCAAAGAACTTCTCCATGTTGTTTGTGATTTACTGGATAAGGATTAAAAGATATTTTCTACACAATTTCTTCCTGATGAAATATTTTATTTGTGGCATGCATATTCATAAAAATATATTAATTATAAAAATGCCCCTGGAGATTTTAATTTACATTACTCTTCCAGGTCTTGAAATCACTTTTAAAATTAGGCTACCTCTTTTTTTTTTTTTTTTCTTTTTTTTTTTAGGACCATGTGAACCCTGGTTCTTCAAAGGAACGAGTGAATTAAAATTAAAAAAGTGGCTTATTTCAATACTTGTTTTATCTCGTTTTAAATTAGCCCCCAGTGAGCTTTGTTAAAGTCTACTTTAACATTGAGAATCTCTGTTTTAAATCAGAAATATCCATGTCAGGGTTTCCCGAACAGGAATATAGGCCACATTTGTGATATTCTGAAAAGCCAGTGCCGAATTACATTAAAATTTATAACTGAAAAAATCGACATCCAAAGAGGTTTTAAAATTCATTATATTTTAAAAGATTTACATTCTTTGACATCTCACATCAAATAAATAATTTAGGTCCTTGGTGTTCAGCTGACAAAAAGCTCTATGGTTTTATCATGGTTTCTTCTAAGCAAATAAAACCATTTCCGATTGTGATCCTAGATGACTAATGATGGCACTTCAGTCCATTTAAGCTGGTGGCTAGATTTGTGTGTACTTAAACACTTTGTGTCACTGTGAGTGAGAGAGCACGGTTAGTGCTGAGTGCTGGAGTGAGGCTGGGCAGAGGGCCATACTTAGAGATCAGAGAACCAGGGAAGTGCAAAATCAGCCAGTAGATCTTGTGCCATTTCCTTAGCCATGCATTATTTACAGTAGCGATAGTCAGGAGCATGAAAAATGAGGCTTGTGAATATGTGCAGGGGGCAGGAAGGCTTTGAAAGTTGTTGTCTTCCTTTGTTTCTTTGTGTGGTATGCTTTTGCTAATGCAGTAATTTCCTTGCTTATGTTTCTCCACCACTGCTGTACAGGATCAATAGCTGCAAGCAAGTTGTGGACCATGCATGTTAATGTTTATTTCACACTTGCAAAGGTACATAGAAAAACATATTTTGTACACAAATCACAGTTTTAAAAGACACATAGCAGCATTTTTGCATCTCATTCATTTTGGCCTAATGGTTATTATGAACTACACAGTTAACAAAATTGTTTAAAGTGAACAAAAGAGTTATGAGTAAGATCAATTTCCAGAAAAAAGGAGCATTAGATCACATGAATTCACAAAACAGTAAATTATACAGTACAATGGTTATAAATGAAGTCTTAGGTGTTGAGTTGCTAACAGTCTAGATTCAGGAGATTACACATGAAGGTCATACAAAAGTATTGTCAGGACATGAGAATGATGATGAAAAATAAGTGATAAAGTGCTTAGAAATCTAGGAAAGGGCAGTAAAATACTTAATTAGGTATGAATGAAACAGATCAATAGACTGTGCTGTGGAATGTGTCCATCCTAACCGTCCCTCAGTCTAACTAACCAGATAAGTGCTGTTATGTATCTGTACAATCTCCATTTTTACAATCTCATATTTAATTTGTGTAAGTTTGTCTTAATAAGCAGTCACAGAGATGCAATCAACACTGTGAGACGTGTCAAAGAAAAGTCCCTTAAACAAGCTCATTCTTGGTGAAGATAAAAAAGTGTTTTGTCCACCCACAGCATGCCTAAATATTTCTATAAATATGCTGATATATATCTCATATTTATAAGGGTTAAGTAGGGAAATTTATGACGGGGAGACTGGCATTCTGTCCTGGAAAGAACCCTGGAAAAGATGAGTAGTCCCGTGATTTGTTTAGGATACTGATATAAAGGTCTTGGCACAGAATGGTGCTGGCCGTTGCATGCCTCTAGGTGAATGTCCATGCTCCAGCAGTTTTTGTCAGGAGAGAGGGGCCTGGCATGCGTAACGTAACAGTCTTACCTCTCTGAAGGAAACTATACTAGTACAGGACGTGTAGTGGAGCCCCATGGCTAGGACAGAGCCATTGAGAGAATATAGCACTGGACAATGATGTACATTCCCATCTGTAGATAGATACCCACTACTCTCACAGATAAATAAATAAAAAAGATAGTAATGAAAAATGCTGACAGTTATTCACATACAAGATCAGGCATGCAGGTGGTCATTTTTATAATCAAAACCTACAAAATAAATAAACAAAAATGAAAACTCCAACCCCAATGACCATTACTGTTAAGTCTGACAAGGCTTCTAACAGTCTTGTCATCCCTAGTTTGTTCCCATAGCTTAAACTCCACATATAAATCTTTTTATAAAACATACATCAGTAGTTATATTGCAAATATTTCTGTGCATAATTTATGAATGCAAGATCAACCAGGAGTAATATAAGGTTAAAATGCAGCTTGCCAGTCGTAGCCATGTTTTCAAACGTCCCCTCGTCCTTTGTGTCTTTCTCAGGCGATTTCTTGCCGAAACATCAATGTTTCTCATTTACATAATGCAAGCCATCACCATTCTTTTTAACATATGGGATTTAGTTTTTTTTTTTTTTTCACTGAGCATGCTAACCTACTGCATGCATTTTTGATATTTAATCAGATCTTATTTAGATGCTACAGTCCTCGTTTATTTTTCAACTTCTGTGGCATTATTGTTAAGAGGGAGACTTATTTTAATTACGTTGTGTGTGAGTTTTTCAGTAGTGCTGTAGATGGGTTTCTCTTCTTACTTAATCCCCTTTCCAGTTACTGAGGATAGAACAGAAAAAAAGAGCATATGAATCATAACAGCAACATTGAGTGTGGAAATATAATCAACCTATCAAACAATAGTATGTGACCTGCTCCATCATTTTGAGTCATTTCGGCCTAGAAACTAATGTCGAGTCTGAATGAATTTCTGTTATATAATTATGTCTACTCCAAACTGTTGTAGATATACAGTATAATCATGTAAATGGTGGCCGTCATAACTTGTTTTTAAGAAAATCTCCTCAAAACTATTTTCAGATATTTCTGACAGAATTATGTAACTTATTCAAACATATCAAATAATTATGTTAAGTAAAGATTTTATTAATAAGTTGATCATTTTTATTCATCCAGGACACATTAAATTGATCAAAAATGACAGTAAAAACATTGTTACAAAATAGTTCTATTTAGCTGTTCTTTTGAACTTTCTATTCATCAAAGAATCCTGAAAAAAGTATCAGTTTCCACTAAAATATTAAGCATTTATAATAATACGAAATGGTTCTTGAGCACCAAAATCAGCGTATTAGAATGCAGCATCAAAACGAAATGTATTTTATTTTCTTGATGAAGTTAGCATAATCTGAAAGCCAAGACTTTTATTTTATCAAAAACAACACAAAACAGTCCAAATTCAAGTTTTTTGCTTATCACATTTCTCCACAAATGGAGATGGCTCATTGTGATTTCCCACTCAAAATAATAGAGCGTGTCACATCTATCTAGATAACACAATCAAAGCTTGTAATAAGACGTACCTGCAACCACCACATAGATTATGATGCTAAGGAGGCCCACGATGATAGCCACACAGCTAAGCAGGCGAGCCAAGCGTCCCAGGCGTCTCGCCCCATCCATATCCCCCTGCTGTAGACTGTTTCTGGACTGTAGCGAGACAAAAAAGAGAGAATGTCACAAAAATCTCTTAACAAAAAAGTATGCACAATATAATCTGTTTCAATACTCTTTTTTTTTTCAGTTAAATCATTGGCTGAAATCTAGCAAGGAAGCAAAAGGTCAGAGGTGACTCTGAATTGTTCAAGTGATTTGAATACAGGATAAGATATAAACGTGTTTCCTTATTAGTGCAGCCCTATGCCACAGCCACCCATTAGATGGTCAGTGTTCCCTAGAGAGAGCCTCTCCAGTAGACTGCATTAAAGGAATCAATACTGAGCAATAGATTGTGCAGGAAAAAGCCTCTGACACAGTGCCCAACCAAATCTCCCCACCCTCAAATGCTTATTCTATCCTCCATTACGTAGGTGTCTTTTTTCATCTTGCGATGTGACGCAATCTCATGTTATCATCAAAGAAACTCAGGAGTCTCGGGAGTGACGTTGCTGTCCAAGGTGCTGAATGGACTCCCTGAAGCTTCCCGAAGCACTTTTAATAGCAAGCAAGTTGAACTTAAAATGTACGGCTTGATTCCCAAAAGCATTGTTATCTACGCAAGTAGGGCGTAGAAGAGCCTTGTAGCTTGTGCAACTTCATATTTCTCTTTTTTTTTTTTTCAGTTTACCAGAGACAACGGGACACACATTATATTATTTACAGTGTTATTAAGTATTATTGAGATACTATTATAGTTTTTGTTAAAATTAGTTTTTATTTTTATATTTTTCGGATGTGACCCTGTAACAGTTTTCACACACTTATGTATTTTCAAACTACTTTTTGGTTTCAGCATTAGTTCAGTACCTATAGCTCCTATGCTCCCATGATGATGTACTATTACAAACTAGTTTGGGGAAACGCTTGTTACTCTATATTATTATGACATATGACAAAGTTATCGTTCACTCGAAATATGAAAAATTCTGTTCTTCCAAACCTGTGTGACTTTTATTCTTCTGTGAAACATAAGAAATGGCCAAACAATGGAAGTCAGTTGGCTCAAATGGTGTTTGGTTCCAAACGTTCTTCAAAACATCTTCCTTTGTGTTCCACAAAATAAAAAATTGCATGCAGGTTTGGAACGACAAGAGGGTGAGTAAATTATATGAACTATCCTTTTAAGATGATCTTTGTCAAGTTGAGAAAAGAAAAATTCAAATGTTGAAAATGAGTTATAAATATTGGCAGAAATCCTTAATGTTGCAGACAGTTTACAAACAGTAGGAAGCCACCTTCACATTCATCCCTAGTGAATGTACAAGCAAAGACTTAAAGGCCGTCTGTGGAACCATTATCCTCTTAATCATGTCTTCAGCGTTCACTTAGAGCAGACGGTAGGACAATAGCAGATAGGATTACAGCTCTATCAAACTGGTTTTGTTGGAGAAACTGAAGAGCTTTGCCCATCACATACACACAATCTTCCCTCACCCACAGGGAGGCTCTGCTTCCACAAAGTCAAGCTGCAGTTTACCTGTTGCTTTTGGATCCACAGTATTGAATTCTCCTCATGCCATTTACAGAATCTGAATGCGTGTCTTTATCAAAGATTGTAAAATATATATGTGCAGTACCATTCAGAAGTTTAGGGTTGGGTCAATAGGATTTTTTTTTTTTTAATTGAAAGAAATCTCTTATGCTCACCAAGACTGCATTTATTTGGTAAAAAAAAATCAGTAAAAACAGTAGCAGTATTACAATTATAATTAAAATGCTATTACTGTTTTCTATTTGAAATATTTCAAAATGTAATTTATTTCTGTGATGGCAAAGCTGAATTTTTGCTGATTTGGTACGAAACATTTTCTTATTATCAATATTGAAAACAAATATTTTTGTGGAAACCGTGATGCATTTTTACAGGATTCAAGTTCAAAAGAACAGTAATTATTTGAAATCGAAATCTATTGTAACAACATAAATATTCTTTAAAAATAAATCGTAACCCCAAACCTTTGAACGGTAGTGTATACGTGCACACACACGCAAACAAATCATTGTGTTTCCTCCTAGACCATCAAGTTTGTCAATTTGAGCAAGACTCGATGTTGATGTCCAGATTTGGCACAACTGGGGGACTTATGCAACGAACGTTATACTACTATAACAGCAGCATCTGAACAGTATAATTTGTGTAGCTTCAGTTATTTTGTCTTGTGATATATATTCAAATATCTGTTTTGCAGATGTAGATCAACTCCTATGGCGCTTTAGATCCGGAGCTGTACCCTTCCCTCTCTGCTAACCAACTCATCGTCTCTGTTCAAATAGCCTACTGCAGACTGGCTCGGACATCCTAGCAGGGGTATAATATGTGACTGACTGGAGCAGCACAACGTTATTGATTCCCAAGACTAATCACTGCGAAAAGCTGTGTCAGCACTTTTAATCAGTGGGAGTCTTTTTGAAAATACTGTGTAGTAAAATGCCATCTGCCATTCTTGCGTTTCAATCTCACGGCCGTTCTCACCTGCTTTCATTTAGCAGGATGACAGTGCAGTATGCCGTCGTGATGCAGGAATGCAGCTTCCGGCTCTTTGTGTTTTAAGGTGCATTTTGCCTGACTGCGGTTTAGAGAATGCTTAGAAATGCCAGTGGATTCTAATGGGCTGTGTGCGGCTTTTCCGAGCAGAGGAGGGGTGTGGTCCAGTGACACGGCAAATGGATAACGCTGATTCCCCAGGAGCTTTGGCTTGTAATATATTTCTCATGAACTGGAAAGTATTTGCCAATTCTTCTGGGCTGATTTGATGACCCCCTTTTCTCCTCACTTTCTCCCATAGACACAGAGGAAAGCTCCCCTCCCCCTCTCAACCTCTCCTGCTGCAGCCTGGGAGTGAGCAGTAGCTCTTAACGTTCCCTCACAAGCCTGAGCCATTAATTATAAACAGCCATGCCAGAGTGACTGTAGAAAACCTGCACAATGGAGGCAAAGTCCCCTCTCTTTGTTTTTCTTTTTTTAGCCCAAAATAAATTCATTTTCAACAACAAACCAATACTATAATATTTTTGTGTTAATTCGATTATATTGACAGTAATATTTAAAGCCACATTCAAGAATATTTCGTTTTTTTGTTTAACTAACTGTTCTTCTGCAATTATTATTACTAGTGCAATGCCCGTGCAAAATCTGTTTTTAGTAATTGTTGGTTTGGTATGTTTGAGTTGCTGAATAGCCTAGGCTACTACTACACAGGAGCCTAAACTCTGAGAAAACGATAGTGCACCAGAATAAAATATAGTATTCAGAATTAAACAGTGTAGCTGACTTACAGATTCAGTTAACATCCACAAAATGGGCGGCGATTCAGGGGAGGTTTAGACCTTGGCTGGAGCAGCTACACAGTTAACTCTAAGAAAACGCTATACGCTTGAGCAAACAGTTTGTGAATAGGCTACTACAAATGATGGCCATGAATAAAATATAATATTCAGATATTTTTAGACCACAACCCTCTAATGTCAGAATGTTTATTTTGGGGAGTGGCCACTCAGTGTGCAGTGTGAGAGGGGGAGTGGCCACTCAGTGTGCAGTGTGAGAGGGGGGTGGCCACTCAGTGTGCAGTGTGAGGGGGGAGTGGCCACTCAGTGTGCAGTGTGAGAGGGGGAGTGGCCACTCACTGTGCAGTGTGAGAGGGGGAGTGGCCACTCAGTGTGCAGTGTGAGGGGGGAGTGGCCACTCAGTGTGCAGTGTGAGAGGGGGAGTGGCCACTCAGTGTGCAGTGTGAGGGGGGAGTTGCCACTCAGTGTGCAGTGTGAGAGGGGGAGTGGCCACTCAGTGTGCAGTGTGAGAGGGGGAGTGGCCACTCAGTGTGCAGTGTGAGAGGGGGAGTGGCCACTCAGTGTGAGGGGGGAGTGGCCACTCAGTGTGCAGTGTGAGAGGGGGAGTGGCCACTCAGTGTGCAGTGTGAGAGGGGGAGTGGCCACTCAGTGTGCAGTGTGAGAGGGGGAGTGGCCACTCAGTGTGCAGTGTGAGAGGGGGAGTGGCCACTCAGTGTGCAGTGTGAGAGGGGGAGTGGCCTCAGTGTGAGAGGGGGAGTGTCCACTCAGTGTGCGGTGTGGAGGGGGAGTGGCCACTCAGTGTGCAGTGTGAGAGGGGGGTGGCCACTCAGTGTGCAGTGTGAGAGGGGGAGTGGCCACTCAGTGTGCGGTGTGAGAGGGGGAGTGGCCACTCAGTGTGCGGTGTGAGAGGGGGAGTGGCCACTCAGTGTGCAGTGTGAGAGGGGGAGTGGCCTCAGTGTGAGAGGGGGAGTGGCCTCAGTGTGCGGTGTGAGAGGGGGAGTGGCCACTCAGTGTGCAGTGTGGAGGGGGAGGGGCCACTCAGTGTGCAGTGTGAGAGGGGGAGTGGCCTCAGTGTGGTGGAGGGGGAGTGGCCACTCAGTGTGCAGTGTGAGAGGGGGAGTGGCCACTCAGTGTGCAGTGTGAGAGGGGGAGTGGCTACTCAGTGTGCGGTGTGAGAGGGGGAGTGGCCACTCAGTGTGCAGTGTGGAGGGGCCACTCAGTGTGCAGTGTGAGAGGGGGAGTGGCCACTCAGTGTGCAGTGTGAGAGGGGGAGTGGCCGCAGTGTGAGAGGGCGAGTGGCCACTCAGTGTGCAGTGTGAGAGGGGGAGTGGCCTCAGTGTGAGAGGGGGAGTGGCCGCAGTGTGGAGGGGGAGTGGCCACTCAGTGTGCAGTGTGGAGGGGGGTGGGCTCAGTATGCAGTGTGAGAGGGGGAGTGGCCACTCAGTGTGGAGGGGGAGTGGCCACTCAGTGTGCAGTGTGGAGGGGGAGTGGCCACTCAGTGTGCAGTGTGGAGGGGGAGTGGCCACTCAGTGTGCAGTGTGGAGGGGGAGTGGCCACTCAGTGTGCGGTGTGAGAGGGGGAGTGGCCACTCAGTGTGCAGTGTGAGAGGGGGAGTGGCCTCAGTGTGAGAGGGGGAGTGGCCTCAGTGTGCAGTGTGAGAGGGGGAGTGGCCTCAGTGTGAGAGGGGGAGTGGCCTCAGTGTGCGG